CTCTCCATGTTTCCTGTTGGCTCCTTTAGGTCCTGGAAGGCCACAATGAGGTCACCCTGGAGCCCTCTCTTCTCCAGGCTGAACAATCCCAATTCTCTCAGCCTTTCCTTGCAGGAGAGGTGCTTCATCCCTCTGGTAACTTGGTGGCCTCCTCTGGACATGCTGTGTCTGCAAACACCCTCAGCTCCCCCTCAGCAGTTACATGTGGATAGGTTGGATTTTAGGGCAAGGCTCTTCCCCCAGAGGGTGCTGGCACTGCCCAGGCTCCCCAGGGAATGGGCACAGAGCTCCAGGAGCTGCCAGGGATGTCCAGGCTGGGATTGCTGGGGGGGCTGGCCAGGGCAGGGGTGGGATCAAAGATCCCTGGGGGTCCCTCCCAGCTCAGGATATTCATGATTTTCCCTGCTATGAAATCACCCCTTTATTATCTTCCTGTTAAGTGTGAATCCAGAAGGAGCAGGCCCTGCCTGGCAGAATCCCTGCCCTGCTCCCTGTACCTGGATGGAGCCATTGTGGGCAATGATCTGGTTCTTCATCTCCTCGTTCCACAGGCCCCTCTCCGTGAGATCCTTCAGCAAGTGGGGATTCACAACCTGCCAGGGGCAGAAACCAAAGATTTTTAAATGGTTGAACAAGATCCTGCACGTTCCTGACAGACCCTCAGCCCTGAAGTGTTCCAGTCCAGGCTGGACAGGGCTTGGAGCAGCCTGGCACTGTGGGAGGTGTCCATGCCCTGAATCACCTTTAGGGTCCCTCCAAACCATTCTGGGATTGCACTGGACATGGCAAGTTAGAAAGGAGGCTGTATGGAACTGCCCTGCATGAGCAACTCCAGAAGATGGGAAAGGAGAGACCTTGCTGTTGCAGGGCCAGTGGCCACAACCTGAGTTCCTGAAGAAGGGTGTAAACAATCAAGACTGATGTCAGGAGAGGAAAGGCCAGAACAGGGGCAGGCTGAGTACTGGGAAGAAAACACAGCCACCTTTTCCTGCTGGGACTGGGGTCCCTGTCCCCCTGCACAGGGAGGCAGGGCAGTGATCCTCCTGTTCCACCTCCCCATTCCTGTCTGGGGTGATCCTGCAGCACTGAGGGGATGGATGGACACACCTCCCAAACAGGGACAGCCTCCCCCTGTCTCCAGAGGGGTCTTTGCTAACTCCAGCCTCCAGAACTGCCTTGTTTCACTCCCCTTCCCAACTGACAGACCCCTCTGAGCCTGTGGAGCTCTCCCATGGCCCCTTCAGACCCTCGAGTGCTTCACAGCTCCTTCTCAGGACCGTGGTCTCAGCTATTCTCCCCATGTCCCTTCCATCACATCCCCAGCCCCCCTCAGCAGTTATTCCTGCAGCCCACCTGGAGACCCACGAAGGTTTTTCCAAAAGCAGCACTTGTTTGTAATCTCACCTATTCCATGGTGACTGGAACACACAGAGCTGCAGTCCTGCACCCAGTGCTCCAGGTGCTGGCACACCAACTTCCAGCTGAACTGAGCCTCCAGGTGTGAGGCCTCCCCTTGTCTTCCTCAGTCATAAAACATCAGGAGAGAGCCCAGCAGCCCCCAGAGCTCACCTGGAACTCCCCTGAGAGGACCCTGCGTGTGTAGATGTTGCTGGTGTAGGGCTCGATGGACTCGTTGTTGCCCAGGATCTGGGCAGTGGAGGCTGTTGGCATGGGGGAAATGAGGAGGCTGTTCCTGACACCGTATCTGGGGACAACAGGCAGAGTCAGGAGCTGCAGCCAAGGGAGACAGGGCAGGAAGAGCCAGGAACAGCACTGGGAAATCTGGGATAACCTGCAAAGCTTCACAGGGAAAAGGGAGCACCCCTGGCACTGTGGGTCGAGTGTGTTGGAACCCTGAAGCCTGAGAGTTTTGAGCTTTCTGGCACTGCCCCCCTGCAGAACACTGCTTTGGAGCTGAGCCCTTGGCCAAAGCTCCCAAATCTGAGTGATGGAGTTAAAATCAGGGCTGTGGAGTTCAATAGAAGTGTGTGATTGCACATGGGGAAGGGTTTGGGATTTGAGGTTTTTAGATTATAGTAATAGGTATGGAATAAGATGGAGGCCCCTGGGCATTGTCTCTGTCTTCTTCCATCTTCTCCCTAGTTTCAAGTAATTTTTGGTTGAACAGTCAGGGCTGCACTGTGGGTCACAGGGGTTTGGTTATTGGGTAAAAGGATCAATAATAGAGGTGTTAATTCTCTATTGCACTGTTCAGCTTTAGGAGACCTTGTAACCAGCTCGGTTCAGCTCCATTTTGCTCACTTTTAGCTGGTAGCTGAAGTGTTGCAGAACTCTCTGTACTTCAGATAAGATTTAATAAACAACCAAATCTGAACAAGAAATTCATCTCCTTGGTGTTTTTAATCCTGACTCTGAGTGAAGGCAGGAGAAAATGAAGACAAGGCAGTAATTGGGTGCTGCAGGTAACTCATTACAAAGTCCAAGTGCAATCAGGGGCTCTGCCACCCTCACCTCTCATCTGAGGCTTTCCCCAGTGATTCAGGCATGGGATGGGTGCAGGCACTGCACATCCACAGCCCTGGGGCAGAGCTGGACCAGCAGCCCATGAGGAGGCTGAAACCTCTCCACACACAGGACAGGGCACAGATTTACCACATTTAAAAGTGAGAGCCAAACAGGCAGAATTAGTCCATGACAGGCACTTCACACTTCAGTGATTCCTGTCTTTAGGATGTTCAAGGCTCAGCTTGTCCCTGGCAGCAGGGCAGAGCCCCCAGGGGCAGCTCATGGCTCACTCCTCACTACCTTGGTTTAATGGGAGCACAAATCCTCCTGCTGGATGCATCCAGAATGGAATTAGAGCTCAGCTAAAGCAGAGCACTGAGGGTGAGGCCTTCCTCGGCCTGGGAAGGACAAAAATGAAAGAAAAACACCCAAAAAACAGCTCAGAGGAAAGATCTGCTGGGGTGGGGGGAACACATGGGGCTGTTTTCACACTTGGACCCTGCCTTTAGTTCTCAGAAGACAGAACATATCAAATTCATATCCAGAGCCAGGCTGGATGGGGCTGGGAGCAGCCTGGGACACTGGGAGGTGTCCCTGCCATGGCAGGGGTGGCACTGGGTGGGCTCTTCCCACCCAACCCAGTTCTGGGATTTATCTGACATCTACTACAACCCCTGCAGGGTTACTCACTTGGCAATCTTCTCCTTCAAAGCCTTCCAGTCCCAAAGGTCAGAGGGGGTGACATTCCACATGTCATACTGAAGGATCTGAGGAACACAATTCGGTCCAAATTAGAGAGGGCACTCTTTTCTCCATGGTTTATAAATCCCATTGGAAATGGAACAGTTATTTCTCTTAATTCTTCTCTCCACTTAGATCTCAGTGAAGCTCTGGTATGACCTGACAAGCACTCCATCTTGTGACTGCTCCAGGGCACAGCCAGCACAGGCTGAGTCTTGTCTTTTCCCATCAGAGAATCCCAGAATATCCTGAGTGGGAATAAACCCACAGCCCTGCCCTGGCCAG